CAGCTCACAGGTTCCACACTTTGATTCGTGCTGAGACTAAGGGGTTACAAATTCCAGATTTTTGTATCCTAAGATCACTCCATGTCCACTGCTTAGCAAGCCAAGAACTTTACTGGGAAATCAAAAGCATGATCCCATAAAATGAAGTTTAAAAAATAGGTCAGAGGGACTTCCCTGGTGGTCCAGTGGTAAAGAATTCTCCTTCCAATGCAGGGGACACAGGTTCGATCCCTGGTCGGGGAACTAAGACGTGCCACGGGACAACCAAGCCCATGCACCAGAACTACTGAGCTCACGTGCTTCAGTGAGAGAGCCGGCGTGCCGCAACTACAGAGCCCACGTGCTCTGGAGCCCTCGTGCCACAACTAGAGGGAGAAAGCCCACATGCCACAACTAGAGAGGAGCCCGCGCCGCAGTGGAAGATCCTGCACGCCTCAACGAAGACCCTGTGTGCCACAACTAAGACCTGATGCAGCCAAAAAAAAAAAAGGTCAGAGCAGGCAGTATCTGGGGACATCGGACATTCCCCCAGCTACTGCTTACTCCAACACGTTGGGCTCCTGGGCCCCCCGTCATACCCCCACCCCATGCCTTTCCCAGGAAGCTCGATCTTTCCTCCTAGACACAAACCCGGAGCCTAGCGAGTATCCAACAAACGTCAAAGCTACGGGATATGACGGTCATGAATTTCCCTCCTAGCTCGGACGGAACCAATCTTTCAGTTTAAACTCTCTCCCTCCTTTCAGGCAAAAAAAAAAAAAAAAAAAAAATCAGGCCAGCATTCCAGGCAACTGCCAGATCTATCCCTAGTTACACTCTCAAATCTCCACACAGCCCAGCCACAAGAATTATCAGGAAACCAGTTAGAAGGTTAGGCCTGGAAATTAATGTCACCCAAACACACCACAATGACAAGTGAACTTTTGAGCCTAGATCTCACTACTGGGTTCCTCTACCCACCTCAGTTCCTCAGAAAGGCTCATAAAAGCATCTCCCCAGATTCTAGGTGTGCATGAGTACCAGAGGGCTATTGAGTGGCATTACACAGCGAGGCCAGAGGGGACCAAAACCACGGGCCTGAGACAGACGCCCATTTCTTTGGCTGCTTCACTCCATACATTCAACTTTCCTCAGCTCAGGTGACCAGTTCCTATTAAGAAGTAAAAACCCACAAACTTCCCGCTCAAGCTCAAACCGATTTTATTTGAGACCTGAAAGTTTTCACCAGGGATGAACTGGTGTGGAATTTGCCAGTATACTGCCAGACACTGGGACCTGGTTTGTTACCAGTGTCACCAAGGAGGTAGAAACTTTTCATTAACATCACAACCTCACCTTCGAGAAACCCAGCTTCTCTATTCCCAGCTCTCTCTCACACATCCACCTGGTTTCTATTTCTCAATTTAGAAATGATGCTCTTACAAGCCTTGGAAATCAAGAACCCGTTTCAAAGTAGGGTTTCTTGCTACAGAAACATTGGCGCTTCTCTTATGCAGGGCCAGATAATTCTTTGTCGTGTAGAAGACTGTCCTGTATGTTGTAGGATGCTTAACAACCATCCCCAGCCATTACCTACTCGGTGCCAGTAGCACCCTCTCCCCAAGGCGTGCCACTGTCTCGGACGTTGCCAAATGTCCCTTGGGTGGTGCACAGGGTGGGAGAGGGGAGGGTTAGTTGCCCCTAATTGAGAGGCACCAATGCAAGCTTGTACCTTCTTAAAAATGCCAGATGCCAAAAAACACTCTGGGGTTTTCCTGAGGACTTGGGAGGGGAAGACTTGGTGTCTGGATGCTGAATTTTACGCACGTGTCCATCTGCGTATATGTGGTTATCTGCATTTCGAGAATTAGAAAAAGCAGGCAGCTGCCAGAAGAATGCCCAGGAAGGATTTTTTGTTGTTCTTCTGTTTGGGTAAAATTATCCTCACTTTTTTCAAACCATAAAACAGTGTTTCTCAACCTCAGCACAGTTGACGTCAGAGCCAGGTGACTCTTGGTTGTGCAGGGCCGCCCAGTGCGCTGTAATATAATTAATTACCACCGTGTTGTGACAACCCAAGATGCCTCCAGACATTGCCAATGTCCTCTGGAGGGTAGAACTGGCCCTGGTTGAGAACTACTATCCTACAGGAAGACAAATGCCCCCAAATCCTTTTGTGTAAAAAGGGGACAGTGTTTACCCTTAGGCCAGATAAGTGAGACCAATTGAGACCGACTGGTTTAAAGAATATCACCTGTTCACGCAGTGAAAACTCAATATATATTATTATGACTTAACAAGAATGTTACCTGACACAGACGACCCTACTTAAAAGAAGTGTTCATAAGATCAAGAAAAGAAACACAGGGCTTCCCTGATGGCAGAGCAGTTAAGAATCCGCCTGCCAATGCAGGGAACACGGGTTCGAGCCCTGGTCCGGGAAGATTCCACATACCACAGAGCAACCAAGCCCTTGTGCCACAACTACTGATCCTGCACTCTAGAGCCCGTGAGCCTCAACTACTGAAGCCCGCATGCCTAGAGCCCGTGCTCCGCAACAAGAGAAGCCACCGCAATGAGAAGTCTGTGCACTGCAAACTAAGAGTAGCCCCCGCTCGCCGCAACTAGAGAGCCCACGCACAGCAACGAAGACCCAACGCAGCCACATAAATAAATAAATTTATATATTAAAAAAAAAAGTAAAGTAATACACAAAGAGGTGGACACATCCAGATAAACAGCAGAGGTCTATGGAAACTATTGCAGAAGGGAATGGAACACAGCCAGGGTGATTCTTGAGAGGACAGCTCAACATGGAATCGGTCAGGAGGCCAAGACGACAGCTCTCAGAGGAGGACGTGTCGCAGCAATTCTTTGGGACTGGGCCTCAGAATATCGAGATAATAAATTGATCCGCACCACCAGCTTGCACTGCTCTGAGCTTTCCAGATTTCCAAGCACTCCCCACAGGTCTGAATGCAGGCCAACCTTCTTTCCCTGAGAGGAAAGGCTCCGGTGGATGGCCTGAGGCCCAGCTAGTTCCTCCGGCACAGCGTATCTGCTGGGGACAGCATGGGCCACCAGCACGGGCCCTCATGGCTGGGGGCGGGGCGTGGAGGGCTTCCAGAGACCTGTCTATATGAAGGAACAAAGTGGCCCAGGAATTCTTCCGAGACCCACAGTTCCTGTGAGAGGGGCTACATCAGGGCCCAAGATAGTGAGCAGCCCTCCAAGGTGCTCTGGTCAAGTGTGCGGGGGTGGGGTCTGAGGCCTGCTGGGCAAGGTCTAACCCAGGGCCAGCTCACTTAATTCCATCCTGCTGGGGCAAAGGGCTGTACTCTCAGCAACAATCCTAGAATCCCTCTGGATTAAACCTCTCTTCCTCCAGGGTTTGGCCTGGAGTCTAGAGATAGACCCCAAATATCTTTAGCCCTAGACAACTACTAGGGTCATTAGTTCTCCCCCTCAAAGGGCAAAAGGTCCCAGCTGTGTATTACTGGGGACTCATCTCTCTTCCCTCCCACTGGACCTCTCCAAATTGTGGGCAGAGTCTGGTTTGCCAGCACGGGCCAAACAACTCCTATGACTGTTGCTCGCTCCTTCCTGGAGTCTATCCACACAAACTCCAGATCTAAGGTTCTCATAGGATCAAGGGATCTGGGACTTCTTGGATCTGAAATTATAAACTGAATTTTGCATTCGCCCAGTTTTCTGAAGAGTGGATCCACTCAGCTTTCACCAGACTCGTGAGCAATGGGGCCTGACACAGCACCGTTGGGAGGGGGAGACTTGGTGTCTGGATGCTTGGACATGTCTGGATGTTTTGGAAAGGTGACTTTCCAAAACACCTATTCTATCTGTCAAAGTAGAACACTTATATTCTTGGATTCTGCATTCCACTTCTGGGAACTTATCCTTTAAATCCAATCCCACCTGTGAGCAGAGATATTCACTGGCTATTCACGATAGTATCGTTTGCAGCAGAAAACTACTGGAAACAACCTAAACGTCCATCGATGGACAACTAATTAAATAAATTATGACAGACTTCATGGAATGGAATGCCACATACCCATTAAAAAGATACAAGAGGCTCTAGGAGTAGCTCTGGGGGAGGGGGAAGGGAGAGGGGTTTTCCCCTAAGGACATTTAGCAGCATCCGGAGACATCCGTGGTCGGTGGGGGGAGCTCCTGGTATCGACTGGGTAGGGGCCAGGGATGCTGCTCAACGCCCCACAGTGCCCAGGAGGGCCACCACAACAGAGAATGACCCAAGGTGAGAATTCTGGCTCTAGTGCGATCTCCGAGACACATTTAATGAAAAACATCAATTACACGGTTCTGTGTAGACGATGTTACCGCTACGTGTGTGTTTTTAAAGGAGAGGCATACCCTTCTCTTTGGTAATTGGTGACAGTCCCTGTCTCTGGAGAGAGGGACTGGATGCCTGAGGGACTGAAGTGGGAAACTGACTTTTCACTCTACCCGTTCAACTTTGTACCGGGCCCACTGAAAAGGTTTTTTCGTTTGTTATCTTTAAAAAAAAAAAAAAGAAAAAAAGAAAAAAAAGAATTGCTCTAGACACAAAATTTCCCTGACCCTGGGTTCTCTAGCAAGAGTCCTGTGTCGACAAGCTCGGGACTGCTTCTTCCCCTTCTCTCCCCTCCCCCCCCCCTCCCCCCCCCCCCCCCCCCCCAGCCCCCCCCCGCCCGCCCGCCCTTTCAGAGAGAAGGACGGGAGAAGAGGGGTCCACGTCCGGGGCCAACCTCGGGGTGCACCTCCGCGCCTCTAAAGCGTCTGCCCACCCGTCTCGAAGAGACTGGAGCCCACATGGCGGGGAGGGTCTGGGCCACCTCGCACGCAGACCCCCGCCCCTCCTAGGCTGTCCCCACCCGGCAGGGGACGAGTGCCAACGCCGCCCCCTCAGTACCCACGGCTCCCTCCTGAGTCAGGGCCTGGCCGGGACCCCCTCCAAGCATCCTGGGGCCCGGAGCTCGCCCCCCGCCTCGGCCTCCGCTCACCTGGCTCGCCTTGTAGAACTGCTTCTTCAGCCCCGCTACCGACATGCTGCCTCCCGCCGTCGGGCCTCCCGCGCGGACTCAGCGAACCGGAGGGACCGCGCAAGCGACAGGCTTCCGGGCGCCGCCAAACCCCGCGCGCCTCAGCGGGCCCCTACGGCACCGCCTCCGCCGCCCTCCAGCCAGCTCCGCGCCCGCCCCGGCGCCGCCTCAGCCCCTCGCGCGCCCGCGCGGCCAGGATATTACATGGCAACCACACACTTCCGGTGCCGGCCTCCGCCGCGCGCACGCGCGCCCCCCCCCCGCCACGGCCCCGTCTGCGCACGCGCGCCTCCTGCCGGCCAGGGAGCGCACGCGCACTCCGCCTGCGGATGGAGCGGCCGCCTAGCCCAGTGAGTGGACCGGAGAGAACCTAGAGGGGCTGTGGCGGCTGCAGCGACCCCTCGAGTCCCGGAGGTGGGCCTGACGTCTTAGGAAAGGCGCTTAACGCCTTTTTGCAGAGATTGGGGAGGCGAAGGGGCAGGTAGAACTCCAGAGGCTGGGTTTACAAATCTTCGGATACCTGTTCGGTAATCTCAGCTATACTCAATTCTTCTGTGGTCTTCCACCACCATCTCGTTCGGCCCCGTGTTCGTCCATTCAGTTGCCCAAGTCAGACATCAGACTATCACTTATAACTCCTTTCCACTGCCCCAACTGTCTTCTGCCCTGATCAAACCATTCCACCACCCTCCTCTCTGGTGTGCCCACCTTCAGGTTCTCCCCTCCAATTCGTCTTCTACAAGACAGCCAGAATGATGCTTCTATAACACAATTCAGATCACATCAGTCCCCTGTTTAAAGTCCATCTACTGGCCTTAGCATACTCTCCCAATTTCTTAACATGGACTACAAAGCTTGTATAATTTGGCCCCATCACCTTGCCTAACTTCGGCTCTCTTCGTCTTCTATAACCCATGGTCCCTGTTGCCTATGGATTTTGCTAACATTATTCCTCTCATGCACATTCTTCCCCAATCTTTCCCCTGTCCCTTGTGCATAAAAAATAACTCTATTTGGAATGTCACCTCCTCCAGGAAGCCTTCCCAGATTGATACATGTTTACCGATATTGATTTTTTCATCAATTGTTATTTTTATTTAATGAATTGGAAATTAATAATGAATCGAAATGAGTAAATGAGTCCAAAAAAAAACAGGGTGGGGGCCAGTTGCACAATGGATAACGTGTCTGACTACCGATCAGAAAAAGAACACTAACGTGACTAGAGCTAAAGTGCTTGCAACTTCAGTGCTGAAATATCTGACAGAGTTGAGTGATTTTGTAAAGCAGAGGATTGCTGGAAGTTTACAGGTGCCTCAACAGAAGGACTAGATCAGAGGATTGCTTTAGAATACGCATGCCCCAACGTCTTTCCCCAAGATCCTGATGGGGCTATTATGAATAGTTTGAAAAATCTCCTGTGTGATTCTGATGGGCACCCTGAATGGTAATCCACTGGTCTAAATCATTTCAGATGCCAGAATGTCAGAGAAGGAAGGGAAAACATCCTAATGGTTCAGATGAGGAAACTGAGGCCTTGAGTAAGACATGACTTGCCCAAAGCGATGTCCTCAAATTTCCTATTTTCCACATTATTTCCAACCAATTCTACTGATTTAATTATCCAATCTACAGGATAAATAGAATTCCAAAATCGGGCTAAATTTCACTCTTCTCTCCTCACTTCTGCTCTGCTTGAGAGGTTAAATTGGTGCTGAAGAAAACTTGTCCTAAGGCTTGCAGGCTGACTCTGAAGGTTTCTGTTCCGTGTGAGGCTTTTAACTTACATGACCACACAGTTCAATTAAATGATATTTATGTATTCACTCAAATATTTATTGGGTACCTACTAATGGTTGTCATGGGTAGGTCCTGGGGATACTGTGATAAACGATTCCTGCCCTCATGGAGCTAATGACAAAAACAGAAATGAATTCATTAACCAATAACACGCTAATAAATAAACACAAGCTGTAATTGCTCCAAGAAAAAGAACAGTGTTGTTGTAGGAACTTCATCTTGTTGGGGGATGGGGAGGAAAGGCTCCTCTGGGGTTTCAATCTAAGATCTGAAAGTTAGGAAGAAATCAACCAGGAAAAGAGCTGCGGAAAGAGTGTTCCAGGCGAGGAAACAGCATATGCAAAACCCTGAGGATTAAACCAGAAATATTCATTTCATTCATTCCCTCTGAATATATTTACTGCCTCTCAAATGCTTCTGAAGCGATGCCCAGAGTTTATTTAATTAATTTTATTTTTATTGTTAATATAAAAATAATTTATAATTTTAAATTGCTGTGGCTGTATTCGGCCTACGTCCCATTAGGATAAAAAAAACTTTAGTTTTCAGCTCAATTGCAGCTTCAGGTTGTCACCGGCGCCCTACGTAAAGCGTTTCGTCATGACGTAGAGCCTGACCCTCCCTCCTCCCGGAGACGTATCCCACGAGCTCAGCCAATCACAGTGTCTGGCCCTCAACTTGACACCACCCACCACCAATCGCAGGGCGCCTGCTCCCTGCCAACGACAGGCGGCCGAGAAGAAGCCCCGCCCACCGCGGGAATATCAATAGGGGAGCCATGGGAGCAATGGAAGCCTCGGCTCTCGCGAGGATGCTCCCGGAGCTCCCCTCTTCCCGAGGAGGACCGTCACGTGACTCGGCCTCACCCAATCCGCGCGTGGGCCGCGGGGGTCGCCGCGGTTCCCGCCAAATACGAGCGCTGCGGCCGCGGCAGTAGCGGCGCGGGCGGGAGGGCGAGTAGCAGCGGCCGCCTGAGCGGAGCCGGCGCCTCCGCTGCCTGAGGGGAGCTCGAGACGCCGCCGGAGCAATGCTGGAGGAGCTGGAGTGCGGGGCGCCGGGCGCCCGCGGAGCGGCCGCAGGTCGGTTCCGGCCCACGCCGAGGGGAAGGGGGGGTCGCGGCGCGCGGCCTGTGCGGACTGAGGCGGCGGTTTGGGGGCGGACGGGCCTGCCGGCCCTGGGCCCGCTCCTCCCCGCCTGGCGTTCGGTCCGTGAAGCCGTTAACAATCCCGAGGAAGGGCCTTGCAGTTCGAAGGGCACCCTCCTTGACGTTATTGTTGCAGCCGCAACCATTTTTTTTCCGGCACTTTTGCGTCAGTTTGTCCTTCCAGAGCGCTTTGCGGTGACGGGTGTGTGTGTAGCCAGGAGGGGAAGCTGAGGCCCAGGGAGGCGAAAGGGACGGGTTTGCAGGTTACCGAGTGCGTTTGTGTCCCCTGGACAAGTTGAACCCTGCAGCGGCCCTGTGGCCGGGTGGGGAAACTGAGGTCCGGGGTCACACGGGCTCGGGGACCAGAACAGCTGCGTCTGCGGGTCAGGGCCAGCCCAGGTAAGCGGCCCGGATGGTAGGGGTCTCGGGTTCTTGATGCTGCCGGATATGCATGGTGAAGACCTGTCTTTCTGCTTCCTGTGTCTTGGGAGGGGGCTTTCTGGCGCCTGGCAGGCCCCCAAAACGTGGGGTCGTGAACCAAGGAAGACCAAACGGCTTGTCTCCCCTGCTTGACTCCCATTTTACCACCAGCACTTGGCACAATGCCTGGTACATAGTAGGTGCCCAATAAAGATGGGTTGGTTGAATGAATTAAGGGTTGGTAGGGACATCAACTACTCTAATTCAGGGTTTTTCAGCCTCAGCATTACTGACATTTGGGGCCATCCTGTACGCTGTGGGGGGTCGAGCAGCATCCCTGACCTCCACCCATTAGATCTCAGTAGCAACCTCTTCTTCCCAGCTGCGACAACCAAAAGTGTATCCGAGGCATTGTCAAGGGGCCCCCTAGCTGAGAACCACTGTGCTAATTGTTTCCAGACTTCGGGATCTCAAAGAGACATAGAATTCATATAAATAAAGTTGGGACTGATTGTCATTTGACCCATTAAGCATGTTTAATTTAAAAGTCTTAAAAGCACCATCTGTTTTGACCATGCACCATAAAAGGGAAGGATGTTTTAATGCCACCTAAAATTAGGAGGGATATAATCTCAGGATAAAGAGCAGTGGTAAGTTTATACAGAAGTATTTGTTAATTTGTATGTGTACCTTTGAACAATCTGAATCCCTGGATGGGATCCCTTTTTATGTAGACCTGAGGTTGTTTCTGGGCCCCAGGTCACCTCTGTTCCACTTGCGTCAAAGCTGGTGACTCAGGGCCATGCCAATAAGTCCTTGTGGTTGTCCTAAAAATAAATTTAAGTGGCTAAAGATTATGTGTCCTTCAGCTGATGGGGGGAAATCCATGTTTTTGGTAACTGAAAACTTGAGAATGATATCTTTAAATGGGTAGAAAGGAAATGTGAGTCTCTGGGTACTTTTCTTATATTCCAAGCTTGGAAGTGGGGAGAGCAGCTTCATCTAAGGGCAGCTGAGTTTTTTAAAAGGCCCTGATCTGCTTTTAAAAAATGCTCAGTTGGGGCTTCCCTGGTGGCGCAGTGGTTGAGAGTCCGCCTGCCGATGCAGGGGACACGCGTTCGTGCTCCGGTCTGGGAAGATCCCACGTGCCGCGGAGCGGCTGGGCCCGTGAGCCATGGCTGCTGAGCCTGCGTGTCCGGAGCCTGTGCTCCACAACGAAAGAGGCCACAACAGTGAGAGGCCTGCGTACCGAAAAAAAAAAAAAAAAAAACTCACTTGTATGTATCTTTTAAAAAAAAAATGTAGATTGGCCAAAATAACTGAACTAGACTTTTCCAAGCCAGATCTAGCGGGTGTCAGCTTCTAAACTTATTCTAGCCATTTGAAGATATTTATCCAAAGATTTGGTTCTATTTATAGTCATTTCTGCATCAGCTTTGATATCGTTATGCTTTTTTTGAGATTTTTTGTGTGCGTGCAGGAAAACATTCTCCCTTATCACTTCTTGACAGCACTTGAGCTCCAGCTTGGCAAGCTTGAAATGCTTTAAGATGTATTACCTTTTATAAACTCTGTTTTTAAAGAAAATAAGCCCTATTCTAATTTTACAGGTATGTTGGTGGGGAGGGGTTGGTTTGGAGGAGGATGATTTGGGCTCATATGAATGGTGAAATCAGTGATACAATGTTTTCTCTCATCTCTACTTTTACTCAGTCTTCTTTTCATTGTTCCTGTTACTGTGTTCATTGGTTTCCCACTATGTGCCAGGCCCTGAGCCCGTGCCACAGGTACAGTGTGGAACACGTTTT